GCTCAACCTGGGAGGATTCGCGCAACATGTATGGAAGCTTCAAATATTGTACGGACTTTCCAATACGTGTAGGATCATCACGGACAGTACGTCGGAGGAGACGGAGACGAGCTTGAGCAGGATCCTCAGGGACGCCATTGCGATCGAAGCGGGAGGTCTTTTTACGTTTTTCGGCAAGCCATTCTTCTAAACGGCAGTAGTGGACTGGATCGATACGAACGCTATGGTATCTAGGAAACAGTTAGCTGTTGAACATGACCGAACCACCATGACACGACTTACAAGATCTTGACCGCGCTGGGCCGCCATGCGCGACAAACTTGAACACAATGAGCTAAATCACGAAGGTCGCATAGCATGCACCGGCTGTCACTCGAGCTTGCGCTGCCCTCACAAGTATCATAAGTCTCGTCAAGGGCGTGCGGGCAAACAAAAGTAAAGATGCGCTCGAGCACCTTTGATGGCAGATGCGAAAGGAGATACGCTGAGTGTCGAGTTGGAGGATATAACGGTGGGCGTCCAGCACCAGGAGGACGGAACTCTATAGGAACAATGAAGTCTGAGCTCTGGCCGCCACTACCGGCCTTGTCCTTCTTGTTCCGACGTCGGAAGGGGTTTCGCATCTTGGCGTGCGGTCGTCTGGCTGTAGGGACAGATCGCGAGTGGATAGAGACAGGGAAGATTGGAAGGGCTCACAAAAAAGAAAGAGAGAAAAATGGTGATATAGAAGAGAAAGAATGAAAGGAAGAAGGAGTAAGAACACGCAACAGAAATCGAAGAACAATAGAGGCTCAGGCTCTTTTGAGAGGCTGAACTGAATGGAGACCAGGTCAGCGAGCGAGAGGCGAGAGGAAGAGGAGAAAGTGAACGAGGGGACTTTATTAAGATCGAACCCCAACTCCAGTTGAATTCTGGGGAACTGAATAGGTAATTACAGGGGGGTACCACCAGGGTACCTGCCTTTTCGGATGTGGATGGCAGCACGTGCGTGCCAATGAATGAGACTCTATATCCGGCATTGAGGATGGGAAAGAACAAAGACCAAGCGATGCGGTAGCTTGAGCTAAGCTAACCCAACCAAAAGGGCAAGAATCAAATATTCTTATTATGCATCTTTCTTCAAGGCTGATGTTTCAGGGGATAAACGCTGTATCCAAACGGCCTGCAGCCTTACCCCGCCAGCCCGCATTCCTCTGCACTTTCAGAGGGTGGCGTTTGTCTCTAAGCGCGTGGCCTCTGCGCTTTGATGCTGTAAGGTAGCTGATCAGCACCTCCTTGCTCACTGGCAGATCATCGATCAGCAGGGGGTCAGAGAGAGGGACGAGGGACAGAAACAGAAACAGAGCACAGAAAAAAGTCTTGGCTGCCAGGAATGGAATAAAGAGACCTCGTCAATATCAAACTTGTCCTGCGTATCACAGGCCGGCAAACATTACATTGCAACGCACTGGATGGCTTAAACCTTACCCCCTTTTGCTCTGATATGCAGTCAGCGGAAAAGGGGTTGGATCTACAAGTGCCACGGGCGTAAGCGCCTCTGTCTCTAGGTGAGAAACTAAATGAGGGCAGGATCCTTCAGTCCGAATCAAATGCCTGACTGCGTTGCGTTGGTGTTGCCCTGCGTGTCTCTTTTCTCTGTCTGTGATAGCTGTAGGACTCCTCGCATGTGCAGCCAATGGGTTCCTTTTACAGCAAACATGGGCTCACAACCCATGTCTTTAACTGGGCAAACCAACGCATTTGGTCGGCAGTCATGAATTAAATTGGATCGCTGACTGTTCGTGTTTGCTTTTGCTTTGCTTTTGCTTAATTTGGACCCCGAGCATGACGTCAATTGGTCGCGTTTCATCTGGTGATGGTGCGTTGAAGAACTGAAGATGCTGGCAGGTCTTGGCTAATGAACTGACACAACTCGACTAGACTAAATAGACACGATCACTACTAACAACCCGGCTTGTTCGAAACGTTTTTAGCATTCGTATTTTGACGCAGACCACCAAATTGAGAATGTGTACTTGCTGGCCAACATCGATATCTTCAAGGCACCTTAGGCTCCCTCCACTGGGGGGCTGTGTCGAGGTAGCCTTGGGCAAGGCATTGAATCAATCAAAGGTCATAATCTTACCCAAAGTCTCGTGGGAATGTTCATAATACAACCATGACATCGTTTCATTACCCGTTTTTGTTTCAATCATGAAGCGCTTTTTACAAATCCCTACCCGCTCTCTCACCCGTCGATTATTCTCACAATCCATAAGCCAAGCATCTTCACGCTTATACAAACCTCTCAACCCCGGGACATCAGAGATTAGACTCCTCAAAATACCACCGAACCCCTCCTCAGAATTCGAACTTGTCACTGTATCTCTCGACGATGAACCCAAGTATGCGGCACTGTCCTATCTCTGGGGCGATCCCGAAAAATATGGCCAGGTCACGATCAAAGGAAACACCGTCAAAATCCCGGACAACTTGGCTTCAGCCTTTCTCTGCGTTTTAAGCGATGACTCTTTCCGATCACAGTCACATGTCAGATACCTTTGGGCTGATGCGATTTGCATCAACCAGAACGATCTTGATGAGAGATCTCAACAAGTTCAACTTATGCGTCGTATCTTCCAACGCGCACATGTCACGTTTGCTTGGGTCGGACCAAAAGATTATTCTCTTGCCTTTGAAACTATCAAAACAATCACGAAGGAGATCTATGAGAATACGCCCAGGAAAAATGCTCCATATAAGACAAAATTCGATCTCGAATGGCTGCGGCGGCATCCTATGCTTTGTATCGACAGAGGATCCGATTTACCAAACAACCACTTGAACGATCCTTGGTCTGCTGTAGCCGATTTCTTACAACACCAATATTGGCAACGAGTTTGGATATTCCAAGAGATTGTTCTTGCAAAACAACTTGTCTTCATCAGTTCAGGGGAAGCTAATCTTTCTTGGTCTATGCTTCGTGATACTCCCCAAAGTATAATTTCTGTTGCCAGAGACAAGAAGCCCGATTTCCTACCAGACACAGCATGGAACCTTCTCAGTGACCCGATTTCATGGGGGAAGCTCTCATGGCTATTCCTTGCGCAAGCACGTTCCAAGATCCCGGATCCAGATGGCTTCAAAGGGTGGGCTGTGTCAACTTTTGCAGCTAATCTACAGGCCACCGATGATCGAGATTATATCTATGGTCTTCTCGGAGTGTCTGGGATACCGATCACTCCTGACTATAGCCCCAAGAACACGACCTCGCAAGTCTATACCAAGTACATTGCAGGCTGGTTGAAAGCTGCACGCACACAACAAACTATGCATGTCCACAGTCCTCTTGCGTTTTTGTCCCTCGCGGGCACGGGGAAATATAGCCACTCTGATCTGCCAAGCTGGGTTCCCAACTACAGAAAGAAGAGGGAAGCTTCATCACCCTGGTGTTATAGTGCTAGCAATTTTCGCCCCACCGATGAAGGTGACCCGACTTCATCTCCCGCTCATCGTGCATGCTACCCTTATGTGGTTGAAGAAACAAAAAGTCTGTTCAGTTGGGGTAAAGGTATGGGACGTATCACTTTGTCCACGACCTGCTGTCACGATTCTGATCCACAGATCTTGGCATCCTTCATGTATTTCGCAAACTCTTTCACTACGCGGAACTCGAAGTATGTTACAGGGATCTCGGCTGCCCAGGCTATTATCAGACTACTGTCCATGGACAAAACCAGAAAGGTCTCTCAGGACCTTGTCGATAATTCTTTAAATCTGGCCATGCTGATCACCTATTTCAATATGTCCAAGTCCCAGACTGTCACAAAAACCTGGAGCTCAAATTGGGATCATGATCTTCTCAACATGGCTTTTTCTCCATCAGAGCTGGCTTCCATGAAAGTCAGACTTAATGTACTTGAAGAAATCAGCTCCTGGAGTCTTGAAAGACGAAGAAAAGCTGTGTCAGGAATCATGCCAGTACTCTACAACTACAGATTCTTCGAGACAAGTCAGGGATACTTAGGCGCAGTTGACTTTGACGTTCTTGAAGGAGATAGGCTTTGTATTCTCCGGGGATACAAGGAGCCAGTCATCCTGAGGCCAGATGCAACGGATCGCTACACATTTGTAGGGCCAGCATATGCTGTGGACGTGAAGACTGAGAACACAATTCCAAGCTTACGATCTCAAGGACAATGGTTTGAGTTACGATAAGGTCGAAAGGGAGAAAGACACTAAAAGGAACGTACTAAACATTAAGCTTATTTGTTCTCGATGTGTCGATGTCTTATGTACTCTACGTACTGTACCTTTGAAGTACATTTGTTACCTTATTAGTAGTGTAAGCTAACAGCTTGCCTCTTGACCCTGCCAGATGGAATGTATGACAAGCTACCAATGACTTGTTACTTAATACTCGTATCGAATACCGCTACCCGCTTCATCCAGTAGCATGTATAACAAATCACACCTCGGCTTGAGATTCTCCAAGAGGGACAATAATGAAGTGAGTGATCCATCAATTGGCTCATTCATCTCTCAGGCTCAACAACTGAGAGAATTAATAATTCTATCATACATAGCTCAGAAATTGATTACAAGGGTTCTAGATAGATCGTCGTAGCCTGGGGCCGCTCAACGTCGGCCGAGACTTGTGTCCCAATAACCATGCCCGTCCTTTCAAATGCCCCGTGTTCGCCCTGTAAACTCAAAACCGTGAGAAGCATCGTCAACACTCTCCATCATTACCGCTACCCACATAAAGACTATTATTCATAGCAGGCCTCAGCTTCAAAACCAACCGAGCCGCCCATTTTTTCACAAAAAAGCGCATCTCCAAATTGTTTATATACGTAATGAAGTCGCTGAGATCAATCCAGATCGAACTCCAACGCGAGAATGGCTCGAATGCTCGCGTAGCATTATGCAGTCGTTACCAAAGTGAGAATATACCAACATAGGCTGATGTACTCATCCAAATACCTTTTTGCCGATTCGATATGGTCTTAGCAAGACATTTAGGCCTTGCGGGATCGAACTGAGCCGTTGGTCTTGGAGCCAGTGGCGGTGGCACCATTGGACTTCTTGACAGGAGTAGTCTGGACCAGGTGAGGGTCGGGGAGAGGAGCCTGGGACATGCGTCGGAGACTCTGTCGGCCGGTAGGAGCCTTGCCCTGCTTCTTGTAGGTGGCGAAGTAGAAGGAGATGAACAGAACGAGGTAAGAGCTGATGGTGATGATACCAGAGAAGGCAGCAAACTCCTCGCCAGAGCACTTTCCAGCGTTAGGCATCCAGGGGAAGTAGGTCGAGGTGAAGTAGGTGTAGGAGGCGAAGTAGATGAAGCCGAGATCAATGACGAACTGGATGATCTGGAGACGGGTAACCCACTCCTTCCACCAAACACGGACACCACGAGCGCTCTGGAAGTAGTACCAGTACATGACGACGTGAACGAGCAGGTTCAAGACGATAGGGACCCAAGAGACGGAGGTGGAACCGATGAGCTGAGTGTAGCAGAGGAAGGCGGTGGCACCATGGTGATAGCAGTGAAGGAAGGCTGTTGAATGTTAGCTTGTCAACGTCGCACTGGGAGCAAAAACATACTCAGAGGCTTCTTCTTGAGGAAAAGGAAGACGGTATCAAGGAGCTCAAGGTACTTGGTGAGGTAGTTGAGCTGTCGCAGATGTTAGCTGGGAGTGCATGTAAAATTTCGTTGGAAACTTACGTAGTACAGGACCACAAGGGGCTGGGTCCAGCCGCCCTCGGCATCGCAGATAGCATGGAAGATGCCACCACGGACAACGGTAGGAAGAAGCTGCTCAACGAAGAGAGCCAAGAGAGTACCGCTGATCAGGGTCAAGTAGAGGTTGTGGATGAGGAAGAGACCCTTGAGCTTGAAGGGTTCACGGTTACGCATCCATTCACGGCCACCGAAGATGATGGCATAGTAAATAACGATAAAGATCGATGTCGACTTCAGAGTGGACATGGGGGTCTCGAAAGGCACAAACTTGAAGTCATTGGCGGAGTAGCCGACAACAGCAGTGAATGCCTTGTCAAAGATGGGCCACAGGTGAACGCCAAAAGGCCTGTCGATGGTTGGCAGCGGAAGCTGCTCGTAGAAAGTAGCGGGAGACGCAGACATGATGGGCGAATTGTACGTTCAAACCGACACAATTGTTGACCGCGGGATCGTTTATTAAGTAGGGGATTTGGAGTAGCCGAGTTACGTATTCGGCGTGGCTTTTTTTCTCGAAGACGCGATAGAGCCGATGGCGCGGGGGAGAGGACACGTGTAAGACGAACAAGTAGAGACTGACAAGGAATGACAAGAAGAAGAAGAAGGTTCTCCGGAGAGATGAAATGGTTAAAGAAGGTGCCAGGTAAACGGCGATTGTGGGAATGCGTAGAATTAAAAAGGAGATAAAAGGGGAGAAGGAGAGTAGAGTTTTAATTGAGGGAGAGCCAGAGGAGGACGTCGCATCAAAAAGGGGAAATTTCAATCCGCACCGCTACCTTCCCTCAATCGCACTTTTACCGGGCAGATTGGATCTCCGGCTGCCGCGGACACTGTAGCAGTAAAAGTGAAAGTGGCACCTGGCACCGCGCTTTCCTTCCATCGAGGTGCCACTAGTACATCTTTGTAGGGGGCATCTCGAGAATTCACCCAATTGCCATGCGTATATCTTATTTCACCAACAGGCCCGCCCCGGGTACCAAGAATTGGCCAGGCTCGTGCGCTTTTTAGCTACTAACGTTAGGTAGTAGTAGTTAACTGTATTCTACTAATTCCTTTCGAAAAACCATGGCACGCGCTCGCTCATCCTCACAACAAGCATGCATACTACCTACATATGCCCGAGATGAGGCTTCACTCCACACTGCAATTACATGTGAATATGCCGGGTTCTCCGGATGCACCAATGAAACGAGGATGTTTAGAAGTTACACGTGATTTATGAAATGCCATAACGACACAATATGCTAATGAGGGCCCCTGAGGCTTGTGCCCAAACGTTGCTTATTACACTTGTCTGACTCTGCTGCTGTGCCTGTGCCTGTGAGATCGTGTCCCGAGGCTTACTGGATGCCAAGACTGCGGTGATGACCGAATGGTGTAGCCCGATCGAAAATCATTGGCCACGTCAAACTCCGGGATAAAAGCCCGTTAGACAATGGCATTAATATCCGTACATCGTATCACGACGACATAATGTCAGGTTGTCAGGATGGCATTTGCAAGCTTGATTCGCCCATAGTGAGACCGGAAAATAACAACTACGTACCCGAAAGCACGAGGCTGGAGAGATTGCGCAACTTGATCTTCGCGATGTCCAATGGTCACTCCAGCACCCGAGTAAAGATACGGGAGGTAGTTAGTTGACTTGCAAATCCTTCGTCATCGTAATTTCGAACCAAGGTTCCATGCAAATATCGGAGATTCCCCCATGTCTGGATCGATCAATACTTCAACGAATCTCAGCACGGCTCATCTGAGCTAAACTCAAAGCCTATGTGAGAACCTTGATAAAGGTTTCGCTTAACTGATTGCTCAATTCACATCACCTTCCATCATCTCAAACTCAGAAGTTCGTGTCACTTGTGGCTGCCATGTGGCGGTGCTAATGTGTCAAGGTGTGGCTACCTCGCAGCTGTCAGTCAAATGGTGGGTGCCGTAATAATTTCAATGCCAGTCCAGCTATTGGCGGTCTTCACATTCCAATTCCCCGTCACCGAGGACAGCCTTGCCGACAGAGCGCAGGACGTTACAGTTGACTGGATTGAGTCAAGTTCAAGCTGTTTTTGGAAGACTCTAGCTCCAGAATACCAAGCTCTATAGTCTCAACACGTGTAGCATGAAGCTATCGTCAGTTTCTACTTTATTCAGCTACCGCGATCAATTGAACTACCGTGCCAGGTCCCTGCCGCAATGACGAATGGAAGCTAACTGGAAGTAAGCTCGTTGAAGTACAGTACATACACTGTCACTTCCATCAAAAGTCGCACTTACTGTGAACTTGCAGCACAATTCGCACTATAGCCCACAACTACGCAATCTGGTCTAGCCTCGCCTTAGTCATCAATCCTCAGCCCATCCTCTCGCCCAAACAACTCTGCAGTCATCACCCGAGCCGGAAAAAGCCAGCCCACTACCTCTACCAATACACGATTTGCCTCCGACAACAGACATATCAGTCTCTGACAACAGACGCCTCTCCTCTCCAACATGTCCGCCTTCATTCGTGTCGCCCGTAGCGTTCGCGCTGCTCCCATTCGACCTGCTGTCCAGCCCCTGGTTGCCCGCTCGGCCGTTGCCCACTTCACCACCTCGATTCCCCGACGAAGCGAGCACGCCGAGGAGACCTTTGAGGAGTTCTCTGCCAGGTAGGATCACACCTAATACTCAATGGCCTGCCGGTTGCTTGGAACGTCGGTTTTCTGTGCTGTGGAAAGGTGTGGCAAATCGACTGGGAGGTTTGGGGCCTTTGCGTGGTTGTCTTGCGGCTGTGGGAAAAAGATGCCGCAAAGCCCGCCTAGAGCTCTGTCCCCACGCGATTTCGCCCGAATACTCTCCAATGCAGCCGCACAGGTTTCTTGCGGAACTCAATTGCTAAGCCATTCCTCTCTGCAGGTTCGAGAAGGAGTTTGATGGTGTTCAAGACGTTTTCGAGCTTCAGGTATGTTTGCCCCACGGGGTAGAGCTCGCTGCTCTCCGGCTGGCTCCCGAAAATGTCGTATGACTTTGGCTTATCACCAAACCACAGCGCAACCTCAACAACGCCTTCGCTTACGATCTCGTCCCTGCCCCCTCGGTGATCGCTGCCGCCCTTAAAGCCGCCCGAAGGGTTAACGACTTCGGCACTGCCGTCCGCATCTTCGAAGGTACGAAATTTTGTCAATCAATTCCACCTTGTTGTCGTCCACTCAACCGATGGATCTGCAGCGTCTCAACTACCCTACTCGAGTTCTGTCAGCGCAGTGACTCCAACTCGATACGGACTGCGCTTGCTGAAAACCATTGACGACTTGCAAGGGAATTCCCTAAACTAGCCACATTGCTAACTGTTGTTCTTTAGGTATCAAGACCAAGGTTGAGAACAAGGGCCAGTACGAACAGTACCTTGAGGAGCTCAAGCCCCTTCGAGAAGAGCTTGGTGTGTTGCTCAAGGAGGAGCTGTACCCTGAGGAAAAGTAGATTGTCCCCCGGTCTCAGTGTTCTGAGCCCCGTGTATACTGGATGTTGGCCGAAACGGAAGAGAATTTCAGACCCAAGAGGTAGACGGGGGAGTTTGGTTGTGGCAGCCCCAAATCGATTGTGTTATAGCCTTAAGTGCGACTTGGCGACGCTTGCTCTTTGCTAATCTCCTCCAATGTGGAGAGTTTTTTTTGTATATCTGAAGTTTGTTGTTCATCCGCTTGAGTGACTTGTCTTCCATCTTCACTGAAGTCACACTACTTGACGTTTTACGTCCAAGAAGACTTGATATACAAAATCCCTGCTAGAACAAAATTTTGGCATGTCAGTTACTGTCTTCGACATTCACGAGAAGCACAGGTCAAAATTCTACACCTCTCAAATAGATGCTCATTGTATACTAGGGTGGAGGCTATGCATTCCCAATTGCCAGTCCCATACGCCAAAATCCATGATAGCCCTAACATGTAAAGGATTGGTATCATCATACTCTCATACATATGCCTTCTATAGTTCTCATTGTAAGTGATTCCATCTTCCATTTCCTGCCTGTTGTCCCACGTGTCCCACGAATGGTTGACCAGGGCCGATAGGGCTCGTCCCTCGACTAGCAGAGAATGCTGCCCGGGGTCGTGGGCTCATTCCACTTGGGACACGAGGACTGCGAGGCATGCTGCCGCCCCGAGTGTTTCGGCCATTTGAAACACTGGCCAGTCTCTGGTTGGCATTATATAGCTCAGCGTCTCGTTGCTGGAGCTGTGCTTGGAGGCTGGCAATTTGTTCCAAGAGTTCTTGACGTTCCATAGCAACATTCTGTGCGTGAATGGCACGCAAGTTCTCTGATGCCTTTTGCTCCAACTCTTCGTTTTGGATCTTTAACGCTTTGTTCTCATTTGCCAATTTCAAAGCTTGAGCGTCGACATCCTGGTACCGACTCTTCATGAAATCCACGTCGTTCAAGGCGCTCGTTCGCCTGCTTTCTGAGAGCTGCAGCTGCCCTTTCACCTCGCTCAATGCTTCTTCCCTCTTGGCCGTCTCGGGATTTTGCTTGAGGCGCGCAGTGACTGATTCGAGTTCATCAATTCGCTGTTGTTGCTTCTCTTTCTCCTTTTGAGCAACCTTGGCGGCAGCTGCTGCAACACCCTCGATTCGGATCCTCTCCCTTTCAGCCACGGTTCGATCCTGAAGAGCAGCACGATTAGAAGACTCAATCTTACTCAAGGTCTTCCGATGATCCTTCAATTCTTTGTCGAGTCTGCTGATGTAGCTTTTGAGTTCTACTTCGACTTCGCCTGCTTGCGCAGTTTGTCGCTTGTATTCGTCGATCTAGAACAATTTAGATACTGTCACATCTCTCATTTCCATGGTGCTTACCTGCTCCTGGATTGTCTCCAGAGTTACCAAAGGCACTGAGATCATTGCTTTTCTGTCCCTGGTCTCGCTTCGGACGGTAGCACTTTCGAGCATTTGGCGGACTGCAATGGGCATAGGAGGATTGGTGCTGCCAGTCGGCAGATCGCGAAGTGGGAGAGTGCGCATTCGTTTAGCATCACCATCCCCTTCATCGTTAATCTGAGGGTGATCAGCAATGGGAGCTTCAAGATACAAGTCGATACTTACATGCTTCCGCTTCAAGTCATTTCCATATAAGGCGTCCCCTGTAAAAGGCAGGTGGGTCTGTGTCCCCGGATTCTCGAAGATATCAAGAACGTCATCTGGGATACCTTGAGGCTCCCAATTCAATGTGTCGGAATTTCCATTGAAATAATTCGCAAATATCTCTGCGACTTCGTGGGGTTCGCAGTAACCTCGTTCTGGTTCTTCGAGATACCGGCTTGCACTTACAGTAGATGCGAGAATTGCGTTCTGGGTCTCGAGTAACGTTGCGCCCTGCAGAGTATTATATACATGCTCAATCGAATACGTTGTCACGAGTCGTAGTACTAGCGGCGGCTTCTGAGAAGGATGGTCGTACAATTGCCTGGCGATCAACGAACTTGGATAACGATAGTCATAGCCGATAATGACGTCGAAGCTAAAAGGATCGAAGTCCTCGCTGGTCAAAGCAATACTGATTCTTGCAAATGAAGCAAATTTGGCATGCTTGTTAATGCTTTCTGCCGAGCATTCAACGTTTACCGCTTCAGCAAGTTTAAAAAGTAGTCGCACCAGTTCCTTGGTCCCAACCACAATCAAGATCTCCTTTTCCTTCCCGTCTAGTGCGGCCATCAGTTCAAATAAGAAACTGAATTTGGGATTGGCATCACAACAGTATCGGGCGAGATCAGAGCTGGGGAGCGTCTCAAGAACACTACCAATGACACCCTCAGGATAGTCGCAAATCTCGAAGAGCCTCTCGAAAAGATTCTTGATCTTTTTAGTGAGCTCTTCACTGGGCTCCTCTTGAGTCTCGCCAGTGAAGCAACGGCTAAAGGCTTGGATTTCGTCTTTGTGGTCCTCTATTACCTCTCCATAGTAAGAACGCCTGCTCGCCTGCATTGGGAGAGTGACTGTCCTTGGCACGTAAAAGCCGTTCTGTTCTGAAGATTCTGACAGGAGAGAAACTTGGTCGACTGGAACTTGACCCATAGTAATAGAGGGTCCTGAACTTTCAACTTCAGTGGGCACTGAACCATGGTTGGGAAAGTTCAGGGTATGGGTTGACGCAACTGGTTCATTTACTATACTGATGACTGTGGGGGAAATCGTTGCAGGGAGCAGGCTATCTTCCTCTTCTTGGCTAATGATAGAATGGGTCAGGGATACGTCTGATTCTGCAAATCTTCTACTGAGCTCTTCTCGCATCCTGGCAACTGCAGAGGTGGAAGGGTCCGCCATAATGGCTGCCGGCGCTATTGAAGACACAGGAGTTTCGGAGTTGGTCCCTAGAGCTTGTGCTTTCCAGGGACCCATAGAGTAAACTGGCTGAGATTGAAGGACAGCAGCATGGCTACTTGCGCTGACATCAGGAACCGGTTCTTCATCGGCGATTGCTTCGTAAGGTGTGCCATCGAGATTCTCTTCGAGAGAGTCGCCAACATGTGTCAACGCCGAGTCCCGGTCGAAATCGATGTAGCTCTTTAGCTCATCGACAGCTGAATCCCGTGGTTGTGAACCCGGGCGCTCCATTTTTTGTTTGGAAGTCAATCGAGGCTTTTCAAGCCCTTGAGAGTCGCTACTGGTCTGTGCAATGGTTGAAAGAGAAGGCGATCTCTGGTTGGAGCCTATTCTTTGTCCGGAAACACTGTTTTCCTCGGGTTGGGGTTGAGAAAGCCGCGACGCTTCAAAAGTCCTCTCCTGACTCGCTTGAGTTTCGATTGTGGCTCTTGGGTGAGCAGTCTTGTTGAGAGTCCCAGCAGCGGAAGAGAGAGAACCAGATATGTCTAAGGAGCCGTACGACCCTTGGGGTTGAGAATAGTATATTTGGGGCTTCTGTGTCCTTTGCAAACCCGGAGAACTTCGTAGAGATGCAGCTGTGTCCTCTAGGACGTCCCGGATGCTTTGGTCACTGGGCAAAGCACTATCAAGAAGGATCCCTCTCTCGGATGTTGCAGTGTGAGAGTGGCCTGGTTGACGAGACGGTATGATTTCTGAGTCAGTCGCAGCGGAATCCGAAACAATTTCGGTCTGTGAAGCAAGGGGGTTAACCTGGGTCTTTGATACAAGCGTTGAAGTCCTGCCCGTGATGATGTTCAGGTCGGTGGATAGGCTCGAGTCGCCCTGTGAATCTGGAACGATGATATCAATCCGCTTGCTTGGGGAGGATAGTGCCTGTGACTGTGAGAGACCTTCTCCGCCACTCACACCAGTTGGGTTATCAGGGCGCCGGGGGTTAGCGTCACCCTTTTCGATTTGCAGTTCACGTCTTTCGTTTCGATCCCCTGCAGGGTGATGATGACTTGGCGCACCCTGCTCCACACCCGGTTGCTGACTACGTAGAGTCTGGTCTTCGAATGGAAGGCGGCTTAAAGAATCAAGGACGTGATCGTGAACCACTCGCTGCCCGTCCCCAGAACCTTGGTCAACCGAGACGCTATCTTGGCCGTATGGGTCCTGATTCACAGGCAAGTCTCGGTTGTTCGAGGAATGGCTAGCTTGAGAATTGGCGGTTTCAAAACTCTCGTTTTCCGGCGATAAGGTATCTCGAATACCCCTGGTCGAGCCGAGATTATCTTCGTCGAATATCTGATTGTTGGCAGTGGTACGGTTCTCAGTATTTTCACCTTCTAAATCGTTGATCTCTTTGAGACTGTCAATGTCCTCAGTCTGGTCGTCCTGATGAACCGCGCCAGTGAACCCTCCAAAATCAGTGGGTGATAGGTTGTCTTCAGGGTTTTCGGAATCAGGATACTCCGTCTTCAGACCCTCAGGAGCGTTGTCGGATTGATAGGCCTCCTTCTCCGGGGAACTGGCGATAGATTCGCGATTGTGTACCCCTTTCTGGCATACAACCTCTCGAACTTGGCGATTGCTTCCAGGACTGTCCTCGGCCAAAGATGATGATGGATCTTCGGGTGTTTCAGGACTTGTTGGATTAAAGTCAGGTCTAGCAGCAGGTTGGCTCTCGCGATCTTGATAGTCCCAATTTCCGGATAAATCTTGGGAATCTGGGATGGTGTCTTGACTTAGTTGCGATGCAAATGTGACTCGCTGATCATCATCCTCAAGATCCGCAATCCTTTGAGAACTGTTTTGAGTGGTGACACTCTGATACTCAGATGGGTCGAAGTTGTCAGGCTTACTCAACACAACCACAACACCTTGAGTAGGTGCCCTCGAGAATTCGTAGGAGCTCACAGATTCGGCGTCAACAGATGAAGCAGAGATGAATGAAGGCACAGGCTCCTCAGATTTAATTCTGAAACTGCGGTTTGGCTGTACGTCTTGCTCGTGAGAATCGAATCGAGATATGTCATGAGCCGATACATCAAGTTTCGGCTGTTGTTGTTTGTTGCAATCCACAGGCGTCTCGGATTTACCCTGACGAGGTGTGAGATCTG